TGATCCTGGGCCTGACTCGGTGCTGAGAGCTCTTCTGCAGCCAAATGGGGATCGTGTTTTGCAGTCACGCGGTCACAGCCTGGTTTGGGGGGGAAGGGACCTTAAAGCTCACCCAGTCCCAACCCCTGGGTGCCCAGTGGCCATGGGCACGATGCTGCCGCCATCACCAAGCCGTGGCGGTCGCTGTGGATTTGCCCGTTGTGACGGGGCCTCCACGGTGAGCGTGGGCTCTTTAAGGAGCGAGAGCCTTGCAGAAGAGACCCCTCTCTCAGGAGGCTGCATCTCCCGTGGCTGCCCTGCGCATCCAGGTACGTGTTCTTTGACTTTGCAATCCTGTTTTAGTGTTGGCCTCAAACACATTGTGGGTGCAAAGCAGGAGCCGTCTGTGTGCAGGAGCTGCTGGTGTCAGAGGAGATGAGAAGGTGTCAGGGCCCACCGGGCATAAAAGCATTTATATTAGTGTGTATAATTTGTAATGATAATACATATGTTACCGTTAAAGTCATTCAGAAAAACTAAGACACATACACACACACACACACACACACACACACACACACATATATGTCTGAGCCTGTAACGCTGTGGCAGTTCTGTAAAGTCCACTTGCCAGCAGTCTTGTGGACAATTGCCTTTGTTGTTCCAGGTGGGGGGCCTCTTAGCATCGTAAACGAGGTTCACACTTCTTTATAACACTTTTATAATTCCAGTCATTTGCATACTCAGAACTTGGAGCTTTAAAGCCTCAGTCATTGATTTTGTTCCCCCTTGTGTTGCCTGGTGGTTTTCTTCTCATAAGAGGTTGGGCAGCTATTACTTGCCTGTTTGGTGTAACCCACCATCCTTCATCGTGTTTCTTGGCTCCTAAGACTAGGTAATTTTCCATCCTCTATTTGATAACTTGGAACTTCATTATCCAAGCTCTGATACTGATGAGGCAATATTAATGAAAGGTCCCCACCCACAGCTTCTTTGGCTGCTTTGTCAGCAATGTGATTACCGATATTCACTGGAGTGTTATCAAACTGATGTGCCTTAAAAGCAAATTTTGACTTTCTGACAATTTCGGAAGTCTCAGTAGCACCACCAGCTCAGCTTTCTGTGCTGATGTGTTGGGGGAGGAGGAATGCAGGGCTTTAGTGTCTCTTATGTTTGGTTTAGCTCTATTATGTTATGGTCTGTAAACAGTTGTGAGTCAGCTCTCCTGCTTCTGGATCTGTTGTCAAAACCACTGCTGGTTCTAAAGGTTTGATACTTTCAACTCTACGTCCTCTTGTCATAGAAGCGCAGCCTGCCTGGGGAAAGCCACTGACTACTTTTCTGTTCCAGAGTGGTTATTAGCATGTGAAGTACAAATACAGACCATTTTTGTCCCAATGTATTCAATACATTTTTCTGTTAGAGGCTCTAGTTCTTTTCTTGCTTCCAGTTTTATAGGATACTGTTTCTGTCTTAGCAGTGTGATGTTTGGTTTTAGAAGAATAGTTACTGCTGCTGCATCTCGTGATTGTCCTGGTGCTCTGGCAGCCCATATTTGCAGATACACCCGCTTCCTCTGGGATATCCGGCTCAGTACCTGGTTTCTGTAACATAAAAACTCGTTCCTCCACAGCCTTTTCATCAGGAACATGTACCTGAATTTTCTTTCTTTAACCCTAATTGCTGCATGTAATTTACTCAGTGTGCTGTTATCCAATAGCAGCACAGGGCACTCAGGCATGCAAAGGAATTTATGGGTCAACATCTGTTTGCCAGTTTCTCAAATGTAAAGGAAGGCTGGGTTCCTCTCCACCTGTGGCACCAGTGCCTGAAGCTGTTTGTTTGCTTAATTGCCCTTTACAAGTATTTATAACAGAATAAGTAGTTTCTGTTTCTACAAGAACTTTTACCTTCTCATTCCCCAACCTAACTGTAGCCAGGGGCTCTGCTGGGCTGGGAATCAAATCTTCCCCCACTCCTCCTCAGTCTTCCTCTAAAGTAATAATTCTCTCTGCCTGTCCTGACGTTCCACTAAATCTCCGGTGTTTATTTTGATTCTGAGGGCATTTTCCCTTTGAGTGCAACCTGTGGAGTCTGTTCACAAACCTTTCCATGTAATCCTTGTTTCCTCCCCTTCCTTTTCTTGGGGGATAGCTACAGGCAGCAATTTTTCTCTCTCTTCTTTCCCCTAAAGATTCCAGTTTTACTCTGGAGCTTATCTTATGCTCCCTGTCCTGGGTTCAGCAGTAGCAGTCATTTTTCTCCTTCTTGGTAGCTGGTGTAGTGCAGTGTTTTGACTTTCGGCCTGGGAACAGAACTGATAGCGATGTTTTGGTTTGGCCAAGGACTTTGTGAGCCTCATGCTCTGCCAGGGAGGAGGGGAAGCCAGGAGGAAGCAGAGACAGGACACCTGACCCAAACTGACCAAAGAGCTATTCCATACCACAGCACGTCATGCCCAGGATGTAACTGGGAGTTAGCCGGAAGGGCTGGGAGACTGCAGGGTTGGAGGAGGTATCGGTCGGAGCTTGGTCGGGCTTGGGGGGGCGAGTTATCGGTCAGCTGGTGCTGAGGTGTTGTATTCTGTTCCCTTGTTATTTCCTTTATCATTATTATCATTGGTGGTAGCAGTAGTGATCTGTGTTATACCTTAGTTACTAAACTGTTCTTATCTCAACCCGTGGGAGTTGCATTCTTTTCGATTCTCCTCTCCGTCCCTCCGAGAGCAGGGGGAGGGCAAGAAAGAGGGGGAAGTGAGCGAACGAATTACCTGACTGGGTTTAAACCACGACACTCCTGCATATATATTAACAGATTCCTAGTTGAAACCTGACACACTATAACCCACAAAACGCAATATTGTATTATATTAATAATTATATTAATTCTATCAATAATATATATATTAATAATCAGGGACTGAAAGCCCTCCCCAGTACCATTGAACCATTTGAACCATTGCAGAGAACTTGCACCAGAGCAATATTGGTCCGATTGTGATAAGTCTCCAAAGCCACATCCATTATTTTTACCAGATCACATTGGTCCTCCCCCTTAAGCTTTTGTACCTTTTTCCTTATGTTTTCCTTGGATTGACTTTTTGTTAACTGGCCTAACTCTTTCCTTCCTTCCTCTGATTCGGGATCAATATTAGTATATTTAGACATCACCTCTTTTAATCTTCCCATGAATCCAGCAGTTGATTCATTTACATCTGGCTTTATTTCATATAGCTTAGACCAGCTCACTGCCTTGGGGACCGCATTCCTAGTACTGACTAAAATCTACCTCCGATATTGTTTCAAAGCTTGCCTGTCCCAGTTAGGATTGGGGGTAGGAATGTGAAGATTCACTGTACCTATCGCTGTGCCTGCTGTTATTTGTTGCTCTACTGGGGTCCGAGCCGTACGAATAATCGTATTTCTGTCAACACTCTGAAAGCATGATGTGTAATTACCAGCCACTTGTTTCCAACTCTTGAAATCTATAATGGTAAAGGGAATCTTCATCATGAGCAGACCATCATTGCGCACAGCTTGTCTTAAAGGTGCAGTCACAGTTTCCCCTCATTTTCCCCTAGTTTGCCTTGCTGTAAGGCAAAATCCTTCAGCCCGACCCCCCTATATCTCAGGTGCCTGTGCTGGTGCTTGTGCTTGATCCTCATTGTCAGCACCTTCAGCCCCATTATTCACAATACCCCTTCTCCAGGGGCCTACCATCAAATCCAAATCCTCCTCCACATTCCTCAGATGTTTAGTGCATAACTGCCCTGTGGTGCACAAAGACCAATAGCATTTAAGCAAATTTTACTGTCTTTCTCCAAGGACAATACTGACAGGTCCTGGAGCGCAAAATGAAAACTGCAATCCTTTTGCTGTTCCAGATGATATCTCAAAGTAAAAAACATTTCTGCATAAGCTGCTTCATCCCACTTTCCTTCTCGTCTCAAGAATGACATGTGACAGTATTTTACCAGAGTCTCCTGAGTAACCGAACCCCTCGGGGCTCCACCGCTTTGTTCCGGTCTCCCGAGTGACTGAACTACGCAGGGGTTCACCGATTTGTTTCCAGTGTTGTGAAATGCAACCCAGTGGGGATTTCTTCAAACCCCCCTTTGGAGGCAGTGGTACCCATGATCCTGACCTCCACCAAATACCAAAGTCCAGACAACCAAAACTAAACTGCCTTTTACCCACCGCGCAGGGCGTCCCTCTCTGCCTTACGTGGAAAGGGGCCAAAAAGAATGCCTTTTTAAAGACATTAAATCGGGGTCTCCCCGAGGTCCCGCGTTGGTCCTTCAGGCAAACTCCCCCGATGCCAGCGTGAAGGTCCCAGGGACTCCCCGGATCCATGGGAAACACGGCTGAGTGTCCCTGTTCAGGCACCAAATTGTTACCCTAAAAGTCGGTCAGAGAAACTCCCTAAGGCTCAATTTGGACTTTCAGAAAGCAGCATTCTTTATTGCAGCGCTGGGTGCACACAGGAATCCTTTCACAAGGGTGAGCACACCTGGTACTTGCCGACAGCAGCTCTATATTTAACATACTCATGCATATTCACAGCTTTTCCAACAACTGGTTCTAATATTTGCATCCTAATTACGCATGCGCTTTCTTGCTGAGTGGGGTCTTTGGTGGGCACCGATAGTCTTCCTCACTGTGTTTACTGAATGACCTCAGTGCTTGCTCAAGCTCGCAAGGTCCTAGTGCCCAGTTAGCAGTTGCTATGTCCTTGCTTCTGCTCTGTTCCGGTCTCGCCCCACGCTGGGCACCGCTCTGCTGTCTTGAAGGCTGGCATCCGTGGTCTTATTTACTGTCTCCTTAGGTGTTACCAGTCCCATGATGTTCCTTCCCCCATCAGCCAAACCTTCCTTTCTCTCTACATGTTAGTAAGGTAGAACAATTTGGCCTATTCTCCTATGCTAGAGGCGCACACACTGTTGTTAGTGTAAGATTTAAGGTTACAATGCATTCAATGAGAATCGGCTGCCCTGGGATTGATGGACCCCCCATTCTTGGTAGACGGGGAGTCCCTCAGAAAACTGAGCCATCCTGAAGAGTTCTGGGGACCAGCCTGAATCCCAAAATCCTCCCTGCATCCCCCCAGACCCAAAGCCCACAGCTCCAAAGCCGCCCCGGCTCAGCACAGTGGCACAGACTTGATAAAAAAGGGGTGTCCCAAAAAGTGGTGTTCCCCCAACACCTGCCCTGGGGGCCCATCAAGATGCGAACACACAGGGGGGACCCCAACATTGCTTTTGGTTCAGTAGTGAATGAAGTGGGCCAGAGGGGGTGGATCCCCCAAAAGGGGCACCCCAATGAAGGGGCAAACCAAAACCACGCTGCACCCCAAAGGGCCCTGGAAGCACCCAAAGCAATCGTGGTGCTCCCTAAATCCTAGGGTAACCCCAAATCTCCCTGAAGCAGCACAAAAGCAGGCAGGACCCCCAAGTGGGGGCCTGGGGCAGCACAAAAGTCACCCACACCCTTCCATCACCCTGGCCCCCCCCAGATGAACCCAGGGACCCAAAATCCTGGAGGGGCTCCACCAAACACCCACCCCCAACTGAGGGTACCCCAGAAAAGCTGCTCCCCCCCTCCAATGCCACCTAGCCCCAAATTGCTTCTTGTTGCTCCCAAACCACACCCCATGGGGCACCCCAGCTCCCCCATCTCTGGTATCAGTGAGTTGGGGGGGCCAGCCCCAGAGTGGGGGTTGCCTAATTTGGGATGTCCCATCAAAAGACCAAGGAGGTGTGGTGGGGGATGGAGGGTAGGAAGCTCTGCAGAGGGATCTGGGCAGGCTGGATCCATGGGCTGTGGCCAATGTGTTGAGGGTCAAGAAGGCAAAGTGCAGGGTCCTGCGCTTGGGCCACAACAACCCCCTGCAATGCTCCAGGTTTGGGGAAGAGGGGCTGAAAACTGCTCATGGGAAAGGAGCTGGGGGTGCTGATTGATGGAGCTGAACATGAGCAGCTTGTGCCCAGGCAGCCAGGAAGCTCCCAGCATCCTGGCCTGGATCAGCACCAGTGCGGCAGCAGGGCCGGGGCAGTGGTTGTGCCCCTGCACTGAGCACTGAGGCCGCACCTCGAATCCTGGGTTCAATTCTGGGTCCTTCACTACAAGAGAGACATTGAGGTGCTGGAGGGGGGCAAAGAAGGGCAGCGGAGCTGGTGCAGGGCCTGGAGCACAGGGGTGATGGGGAAGGTCTGAGGAACCTGAGGGGTTCAGTCTGGAGAAGAGAAGGCTCAGGGGGGACCTGATTGCTCCCTACAACTGCCTGACAGTAGGATGGAGCCAAGAGGGGCTGGGCTCTGCTCCCAAGGAACAAGGGATGGGACAAGAGGAGATGGCCTCAAGCTGCACCAGAGGAGGTTTAGATGGAGCTGAGGAACAATTTGTCCAGGAAGCTAGGGACCAGGTTAGAAAAGCTGAGGCCCAGTTAGAATTAAAATAGGCTAGGGAAGTTAAGGAAAACTGGAAGGAATTCTTCAGGTACGTAGCAAATAAAAAACAGACTCAGGAAGCTCTCAGGAGAACTGGCTACACAGGATTTGGAGAAGGCTGAGGTTCTGAATGACTTCTTTGCCTCAGTCTTCACTGGCCAAGGCTCTGACCGCACCACCCGAGTCTTGGAAGGCAGACGCAGGGACTGTGAGAATGAAGACCTTGCGCCCACTGTAGGAGAGGAACTGGTTTGAGACCATCCTAAAAATCTGAACGTGCACAAGTCCGTGGGTCCTGATGAGATCCATCCGCGGGTCCTGAAGGAGCTGGAGAATGAAGTTGCGAAGCCGCTGGCCATCGTATTTGAGAAATCATGGCAGTCAGGTGAAGTTCCCGATGACTGGAAAAAGGGAAATATAACCCCCATTTTCAAGAAGGGGAAAATGGATGACCCGGGGAATTACAGAGCAGTCAGTCTCACCCCTGAGCCTGGCAACATCTTGGAGCAGATTCTCCTGGAAGGCATGCTAAGGCACATGAAAGTCAACAAGGTGCTTGGTGACAGCCAGCAGGGCTTCACTGAGGGGAAATCCTGCCTGACCAATTTGGTGGCCTTCTATGATGGGGCTACAGAACTGATGGACAGGGGTAGAGCAGTCGATGGCATCTACCTGGACTTGTGCAAAGCGTTCGACACTGTCCCACACGACAGCCTTGTCTCTTAAATTGGAGAGACATCAATTTGATGGACGGACCACTGGGTGGATAAAGAACTGGCTGGATGGCCGCACACAAAGAGTTGTGGTCAATGGCTCAATGTCCGGCTGGAGACCAGCAACGAGTGGTGTCCCTCAGGGATCGGTGTCGGGACCGGTCTTGTTCAACATCTTCGTTGCTGACATGGACAGTGGGATTGAGCGCGCCCTCAGCAAGTTTGCCGATGACACCGAGCTGTGTGGTTCGGTTGATACCCTGGAGGGAAGGAATGCCATCCAGAGGGACCTCGACACGCTTGTGAGGTGGGCTGATGCCAACCTCATGAAGTTTAACCATGCCAAGGGCAAGGTCCTACACCTGGGTCGGAGCAATCCCAGGCACAGCTACGGGTTGGGCAGAGAAGAGATTCAGAGCAGCCCTGCGGAGAAGGACTTGGGGGTGTTGGTTGATGAGAAAATGAACATGGGCCGGCTTCAGTGTGCGCTTGCAGCCCACAAAGCCAACCGTATCCTGGGCTGCATCAAAAGGAGCGTGACCAGCAGGTCGAAGGAGGTGATCCTGCCCCTCTGCTCTGCTCTGGTGAGACCTCACCTGGAGCACTGTGTGCAGTTCTGGTGTCCTCAACATAAAAAGGACATGGAACTGTTGGAACAAGACCAGAGGAGGCCACAAGGATGATCAGGGACTGGAGCACCTCCCGTATGAAGACAGGCTGAGGAAGTTGGGGCTGTTCAGCCTGGAGAAGAGAAGGCTGCGTGGAGACCTCATAGCAGCCTTCCAGTATCTGAAGGGGGCCTATAGGGATGCTGGGGAGGGACTCTTCAGTAGGGACTGTAGTGAAAGGACAAGGGGTAACGGGTTAAAACTGAAACAGGGGAAGTTTAGATTGGATCTAAGGAGGAAATTCTTTCCTGTGAGGGTGGTGAGGCACTGGAATGGGTTGTCCAGGGAGGTTGTGAATGCTCCATCCCTGGCAGTGTTCAAGACCAGGTTGGACGAGGCCTTGGGTGCCATGGTTTAATGTGAGGTGTCCCTGCCCATGGCAGGGGGGTTGGAACTGGATGATCTTAAGGTTCTTTCAAACCCTAACTATTCTATGCTTCTGTGATTCTAAAATCAGCCCCAAAACACCCCAAAACTAACTTGTCCTGCTTCTCCGAGGAGATACAGGGTCAGAGCCTCAAAACAGCCCCAAAACAGCCCCAAAACAGGACAAAACCACCCCAAAACCACCGTGTCCTGCTTCTCCTGTGGATACGGGGTCAGAGCCACAAAACAGACCCAAAACAGCCACAAAACATGACAAAACCCAGGCAAAAAACCAGCCCAAAACACACATAGCAAACTCCAAAACAGGCCAAAGCCACACCAAAATCACCTTGTCTTGCTTCTCCTATGGGATACAGGGTCAGAGCCCCCAAACAGACCCAAAACAGGCCAAAAACACTCAAAACCCACCAAAAGAGACCCAAAACAGTCCAAAACCTCCTTATCCTACTTCTCCAATGGGATGCAGGGTCAGAGCATCAAAACAGAACAAAAACAGGACAAAAACAACCCTAAACACCCCAAAACCCAGCCCAAAACCACCTAGTCCTGCTTCTGCTATGGGATACAGGGTCAGAGCCCCCAAAAAGCCCCCCAAAAGAGAAAAAAGCATTCCAAAACCACTAAAACAGCCCCAAAATACCCCAAAAACACCCTGTCCTCCTTCTCCTATGGGATACAGGGTCAGACCCCAAAACACCCCAAAAACAGGACAAAACCACTCCAAAACCACCTTGTCCTGCTTCTCCTTTGGAATAGAGGGTCAGAGCCCCAAACAGACCCAAAACTGCCTCAAAACAACCCAAAAACCACCCCAAGACCACCTTCTCCTGCTTCTCCTATGGGACACAGGGTCAGAACCCAGAAACAGCCCCAAAACAGGAGAAAAACAACACAAAACACCCCCAAAACCACCCTAAAGCCACGTAGTCCTCCTTCTCCTTTGGGATACAGGGTCAGAGCCCCAAAACATCCCAAAATCAGGACAAAACATCCTCAAAACCACCTTGTCCTGCTTCTCCTATGGGATACAGGGTCAGAGCCCCCAAACAGCTCCAAAACAGCCCCAAAACAAGCAAAAACCAGCCCAAAAGACACAAAGTAAACCCCAAAACAGGCCAAAACCAGCCCAAAATCACCTTGTCCTGCTTCTCCTGTAGGATACAAAGTCAGAGCCCTGAAACACACCCAAAACACACCCAAAACGACCCCAAGGTCACATTTTCCTGTTCTCCACTGGGACACAGGGTCAGAACCCGAAAACAGACCTAAAACAGGACAAAACTCAAAACCATTCCAAACCAACCTTAAACCACCCTAAAACCACCCCAAAATCACCTTCTCCTGCCAGATACAGGGTCAGCGCCCCAAAACAGACCAAAACCAGGCCAAAAACAACCCAAAACACGCCAAAACCCACCCCCAAACCACCTTGTCCTCTTTCTCGTATGGGATGCAGGGTCAGAGCTCCAAAACAGATCCAAAACAGCCTCAAAACACCCCAAAAACCACCTTGTCCTGCTTCTGCTGTGGGATACAGGGTCAGAGCCCCATAACATCCACCAAAAAGAGAAAAAAATACCCCAAAACCCTAAAACAGCCCCAAAACACCTCAAAACCACCCTGTCCTGCTTCTCCTATGGGATACAAGGTCAGACCCAAACCACCCCAAAACCATCTCCAAAACCCCCAAACAAACCCAAAGCCAACTTGTCCTGCTTCTCCTATGGAACACAGGGTCAGAGCCCCAAAACAGGCCAAAACCAGGCCAAACCACCCCAAAACCAACTTGTCCTGCTTCTCCTATGGGACACAGGGTCAGCACAGGGTCAGAGCCTCAAAACAGACCCAAAACAGGCCAAAAAAAGCCCCAAACACCCCAAAAACCAGGACAAAACCACCTTGTCCTCCTTCTGCTATGGGATACAGTGTCAGGGCCCCAAAAAAGACCTAAAACAGAACAAAACCACCCCAAAACAACCCCAAAACCACCTTGTCCTGCTTCTCCTATGGGATACAGGGTCAGAGCACCAAAAAAGACACAAAACATGACAAAAATAGGAGAAAACCACCCCAAAACCACATTGTCCTGCTCCTCCTGTGTGATACAGGGTCAGAGCATCAAAACAGACTCAAAACAGGCCAAAAACTGGAAAAAAACAGGCCAAAACACCCAAAGCAAGCCCCCAAACAGGCCAAAAGCACGCCAAAACCACCTTGTCCTGCTTCTTCTGTGGGGTACAAAGTCAGAGCCCCAAAAGTGACTCAATACAGGACAAAAACAACCCAAAACACGCCAAAAAACACGCCAGAACCACCTTGTCCTGCTTCTGCTGTGGGATACAAAGTCAGAGCCCTAAAACTGACTCAAAACAGGACAAAGACGACCCAAAACATGCCAAAAACCACCCCAAAACCACCTTCTTTTGCTTCTCCTGTGGGACACAGGGTCAGAGCCCCAAAACAGACCCAAAACAGGAAAAAAAACAACCCAAAACACCCCCTAAACAGCCCAAAACCACCCTGTCCTGCTTCTCCTATCACATACAGGGTCAGAGCCTCAAAACAGACCCAAAACACGCCAAAAAACAGCCCACAACAGCCCCAAAACCAGGACAAATCACCTTGTCCTCCTTCTGCTATGGAACACAGGGTCAGAGCCCCAAAACAGGCCAAAACCAGGCCAAACCACCCCAAAACCACCTTGTCCTGCTTCTCCTATGGGATACAAGGTCAGAGCCCCCAAAACAACCCAAAATAGAAAAAAAAAGAGGCCAAAACCAAGCAAAAACCCCCAAAACAAACCCCCAAAACAGGCCAAAAGCACCCCAAAATCACCTTGTCCTGCTTCTTCTATGGAACACAGGTCAGAGCCCCAAAACAGGACAAAACCAACCTAAAACTAGCCCAAACCACCTTGTCCTACTTCTGCTGTGGGTTACAGGGTCAGAGCCCGAAAACAGACCCAAAACAGGTCAAAAACACTCCAAAACCCCTCCAAACACCCCAAAACCACCCCAAACCCACCTTGTCCTGCTTGTCCTATGGGATACAGGGTCAGAGCCCTAAAAAAGACCCAAAACAGACCAAAAACAAGCCAAAACACCCCAAAAACGACCCCAAGGTCACATTTTCCTGCTTCTCCTATGGGACACAGGGTCAGAACCCCAAAAAAGCCCTAAAAGAGGACAAAAAAAACCCCAAACCTTCAAAATCACAACGAAACCACGCTAAAATCACCCCAAAATCACCTCTCTTGCAGGATACAGGGTCAGAGCCACAAACCAGACCCAAAACAAACCAAAACCGACCCAAAACACCCCAAAAGCCACCCTAAGGGCAACTTGTCTTGATTCTCCTATGGAACACAGGGTCAGAACCCCAAAACAGCATTAAAACAGGACAAAAGCAACCCAAAATGATTCAAAACCACCCCCAAACCACGCTAAAACCACACCAAAATCACCTTCTCCCTGCTTCTCCTGTAGGATACTGTGTCAGAGACCCAAAACAGACCAAAACTGGAAAAAACAAGCCAAACACGCCCAAAACCAACCGAAAACCACCTTGTCCTGATTCTCCTATGGGATACATGGTCAGATCCCCAAAAGAGACCCAAAACAGACCAAAAATAACCCAAACACCCCAAAACACCCCAAAACCACCTTGTTTCGCTTCTCCTATGGTATACAGGGTAAGAGCCCCCAAACAGCTCCAAAACAGGCCAAAACCAGTCAAAAACCACCAAAACAGCGCAAAACCACCCCAAAACCACCCTGTCCTGCTTCTCCTATGGCATATAGTGTCAGACCCCCAAAACCACCCCAAAACCCACCTTGTCTCGCTTCTCCTATGGATACAGGGTCAAAGCCTCAAACAGCCACAAAACAGACTAAAACCAGTCAAAACCCACCAAAACAACCCCAAGACACACCAAAACCACCTTGTCCTGCTTCTTCTATGAGATACAGGATCAGAGCTCCAAAAGAGACCCAAAACAGTCTCAAAACACCCCAAAAACCACCCCAAGGCTACCTTGTTCTGCTTCTCCTATTGGACGTCAGAACCCCAAAACAGCCCTAAAAGAGGACAAAACCAACCCAAAAACCATTCAAAACCACCCCGAAACCACCCTAAAACCACCCCAAAATCACCTTCTCCTGCTTCTCCTGTGGGATGCAGCATCAGAGCCCAAAACCAGACCCAAAACAGGCCAAACCAACCCAAAACACCCCAAAACCCAGCCCGAAACCACCTTGTCCTGCTTCTGCTATGGGATACAGTGTCAGAGCCCCCAGACAGCCCCAAAACAGGACAAAATCAGTCAAAAACCCCCAAAACAGCCCCCAAACCAGCCTCAAACCCACCTTGTCCTGCTTCTCGTATTGGACACAGGGTCAGAGCAACAAAACAGAACCAAAAAAGGACAAAAACATCTCAAAACCACCTTCTCTTGCTTCTCATGAAGAATACAGGGTCAGAGCCCCAAAACAGCCCCAGAAACGGCCAAAAAAACCAAAACACCCCAAAACCCAGCCCAAAACCACCTTGTCCTGCTTCTGCTATTGATACAGGGCCAGAGCTCCAAAACAGACCCAAAACAGCCCCAAAACAGGCCAAAACCAGACAAAAAACAGACCAAACCACACAAAGCAAACTCCAAAACAGGCCAAAACCACCCCAAAATCACCTTCTCCTGCTTCTCCTGAGGGATACAAAGAGCCCTGAAGAAGACATAGAACAAAAACAACCCCAAAAACCTCCAAACTACCCTAAGGTCACATTTTCCTCCTCCTCCTATGGGGACACAGGGTCAGAACTCCAAAACAGCCCTAAAACAGGACAAAAAAACCCAAAACCATTCAAAACCTCCCCTAAACCACCCTAAAACCACCCCAAAATCAACTTTTCCTGCAGGATACAGGGTCAGAGCCCCCAAACAGCCCCAAAACCGGACAAAAACAACCCAAACCCCCCAAAACACCCCAAAACCACCTTGTTTTCCTTCTCCTATAGCATACAGGGTCAGAACTCCCAAACAGCCTTAAAACAGGGCAAAACCAACCCAGCCCAAAATCACCTTGTCCTGCTTCTCCTGTGGGATACAGGGTCAGAGCCCCAAATGGGACACAAAGCTGCCCCAAACCACCTTGTCCTGTTTCTCCTATGGGTGGCTCCCAGTGAGAACCCAAAAACAGCCCCAAATCACCCCAACCCCCCCAAAATGGAACCTTCTGGAGGTCGCTGTGGAGCTGCTTTAGCCTGGCCTCGAGCTGCGACACCTTCTGGGGTAGGTCCAAGGATGGGGGGGGGGGGGGGGCACTGGGGTGTCCCCAATATGGGGGGAGGATCCCAGACCTGTATGTGGGGGTCCCAGCCCCACATACAAGGGGACATGGGGGGGGGTCTCCATATGGGGGGGGGGTCCCTGTACCTGATGGGGGGGTGCCCACCTGCAGCCTCTCCGGAGGGGGGTTGCAGGGCTCAGCACCGGCTCCATGAGGGAGAGCAGGGACACGGCCCTTTGCACTGGGGGGTGGCATGTCAGCACCCCAAAACCAGCCCAAAACAACCAAAATACCACAAAACCAGCCCAAAACAACCAAAATACCCCCAAACCAGCCCAAACCAGCCCAAATCATCCCAAAAACAGCGGCAAAACACCCCAAAACATCCGAAAACCAGCCCAAAACACCCCAAAACACTCTGAAACACCCCTACAACACCCCAAAACACTCTGAAACACCCTCAAACCAGCCTAAAATATTCGCAAAACAGCCCGAAACACCCCAAAACATCCTGAAACACCCACAAAGCAGTCTCAAACACCCCAAACCACCCCAAACAGCCCTGAAACAGCTCAAAGCACCCCAAAACCAGCCCAAAACCCCCTCCACAACAGTTTAACACCCCAAAAACATCCTGAAACAACCCCAAAACTCCATGGTACCCCAATCAACCACGGGCATCTCCATCCCTCCCTACACTGCTGGCACCCCTAAATGACCCCAAACCCCATCTTTCTTGAGCCCCATAAGGAAGGGTGCCCACACCCAGCATGTTGGGGTGCAGGGATGCTGCTTTGGGTGACAGCCCCAGCTCATGGCCCTGCAGCAGGCTCTCCCACAGCCTCAGTCTAGAACCCAGGTGGGTCACCATGGCAACGGGTCAAAACGGGGCCCTTTGTGACCTCATTTGTGTCACCCTACTTGAGTGCTTTGCTCAGGGGAGCAGAGAGTGACAGGAAAGAGCAGGAGGAAGGAGCCACTGGGTTGCTTCTGAGCTCAAGCCCTGTTGGTTTGGTCCAAGCTTTCCCCTTCGCTATCCCGTTTGGAGGTGTTTGGGGTTGTTTCAGGGTGTTTTGGGGGTGTTAAACTGTTGTGCTGAGCCCCAACACCCCCCCCCCCCCCCGCAGAGGCCGCGGGGGGGCACCGCCCCCCCATCGGGTCCAGGGACCCCCCCCATGTCCCCCTTGTATGTGGGGCTGGGATCCCCACACCAATATGGGGACACCCCAGTGCCCCTCCCCATTGCCCTTTAACCCCCCCCCCCAGCCTTGGACCTATCTCAGAAGGTGTCGCAGCTCGAGGCCAGGCTAAAGCGGCTCCACAGCGACCTCCAGAAGGTTCCATTTTGGGGGGGTTGGGGTGATTTGGGGCTGTTTTGGGATCTCACTGGGTGGCACCTATAGGAGAAACAGGACAAGGTGGTTTGGGGTGGTTTTGAGGTGGTTTGGGGGTGTTTTTTGAAGTGTTATGGGGCTGTTTTGGGGCTCTGACCCTGCATCCCGTAGGAGAAGCAGGACAAGGTGGTTTTGGGCTGCTTTTTGAGGGGTTTTGGGTCTGCTTTGGGGCTGTGAGCCGGTATCCCCTAGGCGAAGCAGGACAAGGTGGTTTTGGGACTGTTTTGGGGGTGGCTTTGGGGTGTTTTTGTCATATTTTAGGTCTATTTTGAGGCTCTGACCCTGTATCCCATAGGAGAAGCAGAAGGTGTTTTTGAGGTGTTTTGGGCCTTTCGGGGGGTTTTGGAGTATTTTTGTCCTCTTTTGGGGCTGGTTTGAGGCTCTGACCCTGTATCCCATAGCAGAAGCATAAGAAGGTGGTTTTGAGGTGTTTTGGGCCTTTTGGGGGATTTTGGAGGAGAAGCAGGAGGTGATTTTGGGGTGGTTTTGGGGTTTGCTTTAGGTGTTTTGGCCTGTTTTTTGCCTGTTTTTCTCCTGTTTTGGAGGTGTTTTGGGGCTCTGACCCTGTATCTCATAGGAGACGCAGGACAAGGTGGTTTTGGGGTGTTTGGGGTTGTTTTTGACGTCCTTTGGGTCTTTTTTTAGGCCCTGCCGCTGTATCCCCTAAGAGAAGCAGAAGGAGGTTTTGAGGTGTTTTGGGGATGTTTTCGGGGTTTTGTCCTATTTTTGTCATGGTTTTTGTCTTTTTTGGGGCTCTGAACCCGTATCCCATAGGAGAAGCAGGACAAGGTGGTTTTGGGGTGGTTTTGGGGTGTTTTGGGGGTTGTTCTGGGTGTTTTGGCTTGGATTTCGCCTCGTTTTGTCCTTTTTTTGTCCTGTTTATGGCTGTTTGGGGGCTGTGAATGTGTACCCTGGAGTAGAAGCAGGAAAAGTTGGTTTTTGGGTGGTTTTGTCCTATTTTTGTTATCTTTTGTGTCTTTTTTGGGACTCGGACCCTGTATCCCGTAGGAGAAGCAGGACAAGGTGGTTTTGGGGTGGTTTTGGGGCTTTTTTGTTCTAAGTCTTTTTTGGGGCCCTGACACTGTATCCCATAGCAGAAGGAGGACAAGGAGGTTTTGTCCTGGTTTTGGGGGTGTTTTTGGGTGGTTTTGGCCTGTGTTGGGTCTGTTTTGAGGCTCTGACCCTGTGTCCTATAGAAGAAGCAGGACAAGGTGGTTTTGGGTTAGTTTGGGGGTTTTGGAGCTGGTTTTGGGGTTTTTGGAGTGTTTTTGTCCTGTTTTGGGTCTTTTTCAGGCCTCTGACCCTGTATCCCACAGGAGAAGCAGGACAAGGAGGTTTTGGGATGGTTTTGTCCTATTTTTGTCATATTTTGTGTCTTTTTTGAGGCTCTTACCCTGTGTCCTATAGAAGAAGCAGGACAAGGTGGTTTTGGGGTGGTTTGGAGGTTTTGGAGCTGGTTTTGTGGTTTTTGGAGTGTTTTTGTCCTGTTTTGGGTCTGTTTCAGGGCTCTGACCCTGTATCCCACAGGAGAAGCAGGACAAGGTGGCCTTGTGGTGGTTTTGTCCTGTTTTGGTTTTTCTGGGGGTCTGTTTTGGGGCTCTAACCCTGTATGCCATAGGTGAAGCAGGACAAGGTGGTTTTGGGTTGGTTTGGGGGTTTTGGAGCTGTTTTTGGGGTGATTTGGGTTGTACTTGGCCTGCTTTGGGTCTGTTTCAGGCCTCTGACCATGTATCCTACAGGAGAAGCAGGACAAGGTGGTTTTGGGGTGGTTTTGGGGCTTTTTTGTTCTATTTTAGGTCTGTTTTGCGGCCCTGACACTGTATCTCATAGCAGAAGGAGGACAAGGCGGTTTTGTCCTAGTTTTTGGGGTGTTTTGGGGTGTTTTTGTCCTGTTTTGTGTCTGTTTTGAGGCTCTGACCCTGTGTCCTATAGAAGAAGCAGGACAAGGTGGTTTTGGTTTGGTTTGGGGGTTTTGGAGCTGGTTTTGGGGTAATTTGGGTTGTACTTGGCCTGTTTTGCGTCTGTTTCAGGCCTCTGACCATGTATCCCACAGGAGAAGCAGGACAAGGTGGCCTTGGGGTGGTTTTGTCCTGCTTTGGAGGTTTTTTGGGTCCGTTTTGGGACTCTGACTCAGTATGCCGTAGGAGAAGCAGGACAAGGTGGCCTTGGGGTGGTTTTGTCCTATTTTTGTCATGTTTTGTGTCTTTTTTGAGGCTCTGACCCTGTGTTCCATAGGAGAAGCAGGACACGGTGGTTTTGGGGTGGTTTTGGGGCTTTTTTGTTCTATTTTAGGTCTGTTTTGGGGCCCTGACACTGTATCTCATAGCAGAAGGAGGACAAGGAGGTTTTGTCCTGCTTTTTGGGGTGTTTTGGGGTGTTTTTGGCCTGTTTTGGGTCTGTTTTGAGGCTCTGGCCTTGTGTCCTATAGAAGAAGCAGGACAAGGTGTTTTTTGGGTTGGTTTGGGGGTTTTGGAGCTGGTTTTGGGGGTTTTGGAGTGGTTTTGTCCTGTTTTGGGTCTGTTTCAGGGCTCTGACCCTGTATCCCACAGGAGAAGCAGGACAAGGTGGTTTTGGGGTGGTTTTGTCCTATTTTTGTCATGTTTTGTGTCTTTTTTGAGGCTCTGACCCTGTGTTCAATAGGAGGAGCAGGACAAGGTGGTTTTGGGTTGGTTTGGGGGTTTTGGAGCTGGTTTTGGGGTGATTTGGGTTGTACTTGGCCTGTTTTGGGTCTGTTTCAGGCCTCTGACCATGTGTCCCACAGGAGAAGCAGGACAAGGTGGCCTTGGGGTGGTTTTCTCCTGCTTTGGGGGTTCTTTGGGTGCGTTTTGGGACTCTGACTCAGTATGCCATAGGAGAAGCAGGACAAGGTAGTTTTGGGGTGGTTTTGTCCTATTTTTGTCATGTTTTGTGTCTTTTTTGAGGCTCTGACCCTGTGTTCCATAGGAGAAGCAGGACAAGGTAGTTTTGGGGTGGTTTTGTCCTATTTTTGTCATGTTTTGTGTCTTTTTTTGGGGCTCTGACCCTGTGTTCCATAGGAGAAGCCGGACACAGTGGTTTTGGGGGGGTTTTGTCCTATTTTTGTCAAGTTTTTTGTCTGTTTTGAGGCTCTGACCCTGCCTCTCATAGGAGAAGCAGGACAAGGTGGTTTTGGGGTGGTTTTGGGGCTTTTTTGTTCTGTTTTAGGTCTGTTTTGGGGCCCTGACACTGTATCTCATAGCAGAAGGAGGACAAGGAGGTTTTGTCCTGCTTTTTGGGGTGTTTTGGGGTGTTTTTGGCCTGTTTTGGGTCAGTTTTGAGGCTCTGACCCTGTGTCCTATAGAAGAAGCAGGACAAGGTGTTTTGGGGTTGGTTTGGGGGTTTTGGAGCTGGTTTTGGGGTTTTTGGAGTGGTTTTGTCCTGTTTTGGGTCTGTTTCAGGGCTCTGACCCTGTATCCCACAGGAGAAGCAGGACAAGGTGGTTTTGGGGTGGTTTTGGGGCGTTTTTGTTCTGTTTTAGGTCTGTTTTGGGGCCCTGACACTGTGTCTCATAGCAGAAGGAGGACAAGGTGGTTTTGTCCTGCTTTTTGGAGTGTTTTTGTCCTGTTTTGGGTCTGTTTCAGGACTCTGAC